AACCCCAACAACTACACCTACCCGCCCCTCCTCGCCGCCTGCGCCCGCCTCCTCCCCGCGAGCTCACCCACCGCAGCAGCCGCACCGGGCACCGCCGTCCACGCCTCCCTCTTCCGCCGCGGCCTCGACTCCCGCGACCGCTTCATCGGCGCGTCACTCCTCTCCTTCTACGCGGCCGCCGGGGACCTGCCCGCCGCACGCCAGGTGTTCGACGCAAGTCCCCCCGGCCAAAGGGACCTGCCTCTCTGGAACTCGCTCCTCCACGCCCACCTCTCCCAGGGCTTCTACACCCACGTGCTGCGCCTCTCGCGCCAGATGCCCGCCGCCGACGAGGTCACGCTGCTCGCCCTCGTCTCCGCCTGCGCGCACCTTGGCGCGCTCGACACTGGCCGCTGGGCGCATGCTTCCTATGCAAGGACCCGCCGGAGTACCACCAGGAATCTGGGCACCGCTCTGCTCAACATGTACATGAGGTGCGGAGATGTCGAGAGCGCGTGGTCCGTGTTCCGGGAGACGCTCGACAAGGATGTCCGGACGTGGAGTGTCATGATCGCCGGGCTGGCCATCAACGGGCTCCCCAGGGACGCGCTGGCCTTGTTCGCTGAGATGAAGAACACAGGCGTGGACCCAGATTCCATCACCATGACCGCCGTGCTGAGCGCGTGCGCCCATGCTGGCATGGTGGATGAGGGCAAGAAGTTCCTGGACTGTATGCCTGTCGAATATCGTGTGCAGCCCACCATAGAGCATTATGGCTGCGTCGTCGATCTGCTTGGTCGAGCAGGGCAGCTGGAGGAGGCATTGGCTCTCATTAAGGCTGTCCCGTTCCAGGCTGATGTTGTCCTATGGGGTGCTCTCTTGGTTGCCTGTAGGGTTCACAAGAATGTCGACATGGGCGAGATGGCTGCCATGGAGATACTCAAGTTGGATCCTCAGCATGCTGGGGCATGCGTGTTCTTATCTAATGTCTATGCTGATGCTGGGAAATGGGACCTTGTACAAGGGGTAAGGAGCTCAATGAAAGAACATAAGATATACAAGCCTCCAGGATCCAGCATTGTTGAGCTAAATGGTGTGGTTTACGAGTTCTTGTCCGGGGACCGTTCACATCCTCAGTGTGATCGAATATATGCAATGCTTGATGAGATTTGCAAGACTTTAAGCCTCAAGGGCTACAAGCCTTTAACTAAAGAAGTCACCTTTGACGTTGATGAGGAGGACAAAGAAGTTTGCATCTCGCAGCACAGCGAGAAACTCGCGCTTGCCTTGGGACTCATAAGCACGACAAGAGGGGCTGTCATCCGCATAGTGAAGAACCTGAGAATCTGCGAGGATTGTCACTCTGTCATGAAGATAGTCTCAGAGGTCTACGATCGGGTCATAGTTGTCAGGGATCGAAACCGATTCCACCACTTCAAGAACGGCTCCTGTTCCTGCTTGGACTATTGGTAGGACAAAATCTGAATGGTAAGGTTCTCTAGGAAATATGCAATCAATTCATTGCCCTTTTGTATTAGGAATCACTACTTTCATACAACCAGTGGATGGAACTATATAAACATAGAAGTAACCTTTGTCCTATGCACGATCATAAGATCCCTTGGTTGAATTAAGTCTTTTTTCACGAATGAAATGTAGATGGCATGATCATGTACTTCAAGAAAAGTGTCTCAGCTGGCCATGCAGTACTTGCTTGTTCACATGATTTATACGTCACTGCAGACTAATTGACCAAGATGCTGGCTAAGATTATGATCCCACAGGCGCAAACTGTTCACCTGACGTAAGTCTTCAACTCTTCCTCTCATCATATACCCCTTCTCTTTACTTGATTCTAGGGTTCAACAGAAAAGAAGCTCTGATGTAGATGAGTTTTTTTCACAAAAAACATGATTCTCTTCATTGTTTGCTGCTGTGACAAAAGATTCCTTCACAAGAGTATGCATATTTCACTTCTGTCCTCATTACACTGTCTGAGGGCCTGTTGGGGAAGGCTCCAGCTACCAACTCCACGGTCGGAGCGTGTGGAGCTGCCCCGAACACTACCTCCGCGGAGCTGAAATCTATGGAATCCGTGGAGCTGAATTTATGGAACGGCCGCGTCTGTAGTCCACCACAGGAAAGATGAAAGGGGAGGGAGGGATACAGTATTTTTGTGTCATACCCATTTGTGCGCCAGAAACACAGTGAGATGGATCATTACTGATATGTATTTACAGATGTAACCATATAAGGAAGTTTTAGTTGATAATGATTTTACAACAGAATGTAAGGATTTCACTGCGAATCCACAACATATCAAAAACATGCCATTTATACATGCATTGCTTCGTTAACAGAATTCACTGAGAAGCAGAGGTTGGAAAATCCTTGTTCTCAGAGAAGACGAGGCTATGCCTTCAGCATCCGCAGGTAGTCTTCGATTATGGACATAGCTGAGGAGCGGTACCCAGAGCCAAAAAGGTTGTAGTGATTCAGGTAGTGGTATAGGAGATACAGGTCCCTCCTCTTCTCAAAGCCTGGCTGCTTCGGCATCACCTGAATAACAGTTCAGTATGTTACATTTAACTTTTCCATCAGGACAGTAAATTGAGAGGCCCACCCAGCACAAGACATGAGTTAAATAGTAAGAGAGAAAGACAAGCGGTCAAGCACTCAGCGGGATGTGTTGGAAAATATGCAGATGAACTCAACAAGTACAGCTGGGGGCAAGGGACTCTTCGTTTTATGGGAGTGATACACAAATTGTACTATCTCGTTTTTATTACGAAACATGTAGTGGAACAAAATGAGCATCGGATACCTCGAAATAGGAGCTGTAGAAATCCCCTCCGAATCCAGCACACCATGACATCCCAAACTCTGCTTCATTGTGTCCATCTGCAGTTAAAGAACAATCAGTGACATTTCTTCAGCGATTATCTATGAGTTCTAACAAAACTGTGCAAGAAATTCAGTGATTCCAAACAAATTAATAACCACTTAGTGTTTGCCTTGATCGACACTTTCCTTATAAAAATGAATCAACACATTGCATATACAATGATTGTGATTCTGGAAATTAGGGCAAGAAATAGCGATTTTTACATACAGTAGCATGCCGGATCCAGTATTACAGGATCTCCATTAGTATCAGCGCTTATATTTCCACTCCATAAATCTCCATGAAGAAGGCATGGCTCAATAACAGCACCATCAAACAGTGGATGCATATTGTCAATCAATCGCTGACCTGCACAAGAGGAACTTATATGAAGAAGTTATGAACTACTCCACATGTTAACACCCAGTTAATGATGTGTCCATCAGAAGAAATGGGAACATATAAGTCAAGTTCCATATGTTCCTCCTTTCTCGTATGTACCTTTTTCATATATAGCTGAATCTCCGAACCGCTGTGATATCAACTTCAACTGGTATCCCAGTCTATGCTTCGAGTAAAACTCAATCCAGTCAGCAGTCCAAGTGTTGATTTGTGGAGTGCTACATCAGGAAAATTGGTAGCAAACATGAGTTGCAAGCCACACTACTGGAGGTGGACTTCAAAGTTAAATGTCACTGAGACATTCATCTCGTCTTGATAAAAGGGACAAGTTCAGTTTTAGAATAGCGAGCGCTTAATTTTACCTTCCAATAGTATTTTCAACGTAGAAACCATAGCCCTTGTCAGATTTTGCAGCTTTATGCATTTCAGCGAGCTTTCTCCCTAGAGCTGACTGACAATAAGCTGTTTGTTAACGGTGAATGATTTAAATAAAAGCTTGCAACAAAAGGTACAAGTTACCTTTTTCTTTGAACGAAAGGGGTTTCGGGACAAGGTTACCTGGTCACCCCTAGAACGACCAAATTGAATATACTCCATAATGATAAAAGAACCACCAGTTGGTAACGAACCAACCTGTCATAAAAGGGGCACAGAGTAAGAAATACAGTGAAGAAGAATGGCAGCTGTAGGCAGGTGCCAGGTAGTGACAAATAAAGATAGTACACACAATCTCTGTGCTAAGATGCTAACTGTTAGTTGCTAGATGAGAAGCAACCAACGACCTTCAGATGAATATAACTGGAATAGGAATACGTATACCGATCAAATATCAGAACAAAGTATCTAGTTCTGCAATGTATGGTGTAGTGCAGTTTCAGTCATGAACGTCAGGTATGGTTATCTTGTAGCACTGTTTTATGCATCGCACAACTTATAGATGCTCTTGCATCTGGTTCTTCACTGACCTTGTACGGCAAAGGAACACGGATTGACTTGGTGTCATACATTGCCTTCAAGCCCAGAGCCTCCCCTTCAAACATAGCTGGACCGATGCGCCTGGCATACAAGAATATGTTTCCATTCCATTGTTGCCACCAACATGACTACTTGAACTACTCCATGACATGTTGACTGGTGAGTTAGTTCTAAACATAAATTTGTGTTAGCACACCTGTTGGTCTTCACAAAAAAGGAGCCAGCATCGGTATCATAGCGCTGGGCGGCGTTGATGCACCCACCCCCAATGGAGCTGGTCCCTGTAATCTGGGTGGCCTTCCCCTCGGTGAGGATCCACTCCTTGATTGGGTCGTCGCTCATCGCAGCCACTGCCCAATTGCACGAGACAGGATCAGAGATTCAGAATGACACATAAAACATATGGTAGCATCCACAGCCTCAGCCATGGCAATGCCATGAATTGGGCGTGGAAATTGAAGCTTGTGCCCCCATAAGGCCATAATCACAACTATTGCAGGCCATGGCCGCCACATCACCTCAAACCCTATCCAAATTCTACGGACAACATTTCATATCGGGTTTGCCCTCGCCATGCTACCGGAGACCATCAACACAGCCAGGAGCACGGCGAAATTAAGCTTCAGCACAGGTCGTACAGCGGAGTGGAAGAAGAAGAATTTAGGATTGAGTCCTGAGAGGAGTGGAGGAGGACTTGCCGACGGATAGCCTGGAGGCTGCTCGACGGGGGCAGGCGGAGCAACGGGGCGGGGGGCGGCGACGGAGGATGGAGGAGGCGGAGGTGGAGGGCGAAGAGGCGGAGAGCAGCGCCACGTTTGCTGCCATCGCAGGCGCTCGCCTTCTTCTCCGAGCACGGACGGACGCCCGGCGAAATCCTATTGGCTGCCGCCCGCCGTCGCCATCGCCGTGTCTACTGGCTTTTTTTTTTGAGACACCGTGGCTACTGGCTAGGACTGACTAGGAGTGACGAAACGCGTGCTGCCCAGTGCCTGATGGGCCTGGTGTCGACAAGCGGATTGGTCACACTTCCCCGACAACTATATGGGCTTTTCTCAGATTCGAGGCCTGATGTGCTATTTTCCCGGATGAATAGTACCTCAAAAAAAGTCGTAAAATGTCTTAAAAAATTCTTATTTTTTTGGATGTTTGTGTTTGTGACGCAAGCATGCTCGACAGTTTCCATGCAAAATGGAGCACTATTTCGTCGGTGAAAAAAACAATTTTGGAATGACATTTTGGAGTAACATTTGGTGTTCAATATATTTATTTTTTGCACAGACCAAAATGTTTAACCTTTTTGCCTAAAACTTTGCAGGGAGAATTTGGATGTGACTATGAATACATCCAACATTTGTTAGGGATTTTTTGACATTTCAAAAATCATTTTCCATGCGTAGGAGCACGTGCTCCCAGGAGCCAAATTGGATTTCCGTCTTTGTTCACTGCAAATAATTCATGAATCTTTTACTAATGCAACACTTGAACCAAACCTCGTGAGAAAGATCACCTCTTTCTACATGGCTTGTTGCACCGATCGCCCACGCCGAGCGCCAATGCCTGCCCTCGCCGAGCTGCCGAAGACCATAGGCACAACTAGGAGCACGGCAAAACTAAGCTTCTGCGCAAATCGTACGGCGGCGAGGTGAAAAAATGTTGGATTGTGTTTTGAGAGTGTGTGGTGATGAACTTGTTACCGACGGATAGCATGGAGGCTGCTCGACGGGGGAAGGCGGAGCTACGAGGCGGGGGGCGGCGAGGTTGCAGTCCAGTGTCATCGTCATCACTCCTCCACGAGGGCGACTCTGACTCCACCATCAACGTCCACCGATGTTGCTCTCACCACAAACAAGTGCAGAGGCCTGCGTCGGTCGATGCCAAACACTCAACCACACGCGTCGGCGACCAGGCAGCTCTGACTTTGTCGACGAGCATTGCAGAAGAAAAGTGTTGGGCTTGCGCCAAGCCAGCGCCGGAACCAACCACTCGTCTCGTGTCATCGTCACCACAAGGGCCCCTTCTCAGCAGCTCCGACTTTAGAAAGACAAAGTGAGGCACGACGACCCCTCGAACACGCCAGAAGAGATCGACTACCAAGACCCATTTGCAAACCAACTCCACCCAAAGCCGCCACCGTTGCCACACAAGAAGCCGCACAGAACTACCACATCGCTGGACGGACACCTGCCGACCGCAATGCCACGAGCATTCAGCC